AAAACAATCTCTCTTTTTGAGGGGGAAGAAAAGGGAAAGGATGAAGGAATTTCTTTTTTTTTTTCTTCTTTTTTTCTTTTTTTTTTTTTCCTGGGTGTCAAGGCAACAAAATAAATGATAGTTGAATCAGAGGTTGATGCTGAATATTTACTAGAGGTCTGAAATTCTCATCAGTTATAGAGCCTGCGGTTTATTCCTGTTTAAAAAGTCATACTGCCTTATAACCTTTCATTGTGGTAATGTCTTTCATTCTGTCCCAAACAAAAGTATCATAATTATGACATAAACGGTAAGAAAAAAAATCTATATTCTACCAAGGTAGCTTGACATTACAAAAACAAAACAAACAAGCAAAAAGAAAACAGTCAAATAAAGTATACTGAATACTCAGGCTATTACTGTCAGATTTTTCTTTACTCATGGAATCATGAATAATTTCAGGCAAGGGAAGTGAGGAGGATATTGATAAATTTAAATAAATTAAACATAGTTATCAAGAAGTAATCTCACCAGTGTTAAGTCATAGCTGCATCACAATTATTCAATGTTTAATTTATTTAAATTACTTTTTTACTATAATATATAACCAGACAACATTTTAACCATGCTTTTACATATAAACTAGTTAGGAGAAAGGGTATCACAAAAATTAGAGTTTGATATATAAACCAAGATACCTTGCATAGCTTGGCAATGCATGCCACTGGCATAGACAGCATTTAACTACAGTGTGCATACTGCTCAACTTCAACCTGTCAGATCAACCCTGATACTTTTCCTTCATTCCCTTATTTTTTGGATAAAGGAAGGATGATCACTCACTCACACACAGATCTCTCTCTTGCACCATGAGATCAGAAACCAGGCAGCTAACTTTTATCACAGACCCCTTAGCACAAAGATTCCACAAGGAACAGGGCTTCATTTAATAAACACAATCTGGAAAATAAACAGAATCTTTTCCTGTCATATGTATGCACTGATGTCATCCAAATCCTGGATATTGCTGAACACAACAAAGTATCAAGGTGTTTGTGAACCTTCAGCTCCAGCAAATTACATATTCTACCATTCACCAGAGCAAAGAAGAAGAATGATTCTTCTAGGCTTTTTTTTCAGAGGTTAACTACAAATCAATCCAGATTTTATAGAATCAGAACTGATGATATGGTAAATTATATCTTAAAACATTTTCAATTCTATCCAGGATGCGACATGGATGTTTTATTATAGTATATTACAGTAGTAAATATATAACATGCTGCTGTTCTGTTAAAGTTGGTATCTCTTTTTTTTTCTAAATTATATTTTTTAGATAGGTGAAGACTTTCATTTGTCTGTCTGGACTTTGCAGATTAATTACTTCACATTATCAGCTGTCAGATCCTTAAAGAGTTTTCAAAAAAGGTTTTGCCCAACATAGCTTGGGATCTTGTTTCAAATATAAATAGAAGAACATAAGTGTTTTTGGATTTCAGGCTTTCCCCAGTTTGAGTGCTTTTGAATTTACTGTTCCTAATGTCCAGGAAAATATCTCTCTCAGAAGGTAAAAACCTAGGATGGAAGCCCATCAATTGAACCTTAGCCTCTAGAAGAGCAAAAGGTAGATGAGGAAGAGGGGAAGGAAAAATAAATAAATACATGAAAAAGCACAAAACTGGCTCACTCTCTTGTATGAGAGTCCT